TCCTGGATCATTTTCATTTTCCTAATTAAAATTTATTTTCATGGTTAAATACAAAGAAAAGTCTTGTTTCCCTAAATGGTTAGCCTTTTTAAGGTCAGAGTGCTTGGTCTACATATGGCCTTGGTTTATTCAGAGTCCCAAGTACAGAGGTTTGGTACTAGTTAAAACTTGAACTGAGTGATTGCTTCTAATAGGGGAAATGGACGTTTTAAGATATTAGTAACCTGACAGTTGGCTTATTTAGCTCCTAGTGGGTTAATTTTGTAACGAATTTTAAGTGGGAGATAAAATAGAACAATTGATCTTTAAAATATACTATGAAGTTTATTTCCTGGGATTGGCTTTGGAATTTCAAGATGATCATCATTTCTACTTGGACTTACATGAACAGTAACAGAAAATTGTTTGGCTGGGAACTTTGATTTTCAAAATGATTGAAATGTTTTGAGGTGGAACTGAATTCATTGTAAAGGTGTAAGCTACATAATGGACTAGGATGTTAAATGGGCTGAAAGTTTAAGCATACGACCCTGTATACAGTAATTTTTATTCTGGCAAATAGGTTTTGGTAAAGCAGTGCTTTTATTAACATATTAAAGCAATGAAGTAGAATTGTTCACTTCAAAGATGTGTGAGTAGAGCCAGTGACATTTGCTCAGTGCGTTAAGAATGCTTGCTGCCAAGGCTGTTGTGATCAGAGTTCCTGGGATACATAATGGAGAACCAGCTCCTCTCAGTGTTTTCTGATCTTTACATGAAAACCATCGTTCAAGTATTAGCCACGAATGCACAAATAATGCTGTTTTTTATTTATTTAAGCCTAGAATGGTGATGCATACTTTAATCCGCCATTCTGGAGACTGAGTCAGGACTGCCATGGGTTTGAGTAATACAGCTGAAATCCTATCTCAAAAACCAATTGTTTTTTGTTTTGTTGTTTTTTTTTTGGTGCAGCTAAGTCTATATAATCTTTTGACAGCATGACAAGATTTTTGTCATCTACAAATTCAGAGCTGTACTTGGCCCTTGGGTTGAATATCAACTGCTAGATACATGATAGATAACAGTAATGGTTAAATTGAATAGGGAATTTTTATTTTCCAGATAAGATCTGTGATCAAATCAGTGATGCTGTTCTTGATGCACACCTTCAGCAGGACCCTGATGCCAAAGTGGCTTGTGGTGGGTATACAACACATGCTTGAATGGAAAGGGGGGCATTTGAAGGAAAGTCTGGTGGTAGGTTTGTGATGCACTAGCTACTTGGGAGGTTGAGGCTAGCGGTAGCAAGTTAATGTCCATATTGGCAATTAGCAAGACACTATCTCAGAAATAGAAAATGAAGCCCAGGGATATAGCATGTACTACGTGGATTGAATTCCCCTACCCTAATATTTTGGGCATAAATTTCTGTTTTATTAGAAACTGTTGCTAAAACTGGAATGATCCTTCTTGCTGGGGAAATAACATCCAGAGCAGCTGTTGATTACCAGAAAGTGGTTCGTGAAGCCATTAAGCACATTGGATATGATGATTCATCCAAAGGTATTCTTTAAATATTTAATTTTTATAAACTCATTTTTGCAGACATAGAATCTGATGCTAATGGGAGAAGCTTCTTATGTTCCTGGTAATCTTAACTGATTGCATAGTTTTACCATATCCTCTCAGCTTTCTGATCTAGCCTATTCTGTCCTCTAAAGTGTGTGACTTAGTGCCAGAGCAATATCTTATCTACAAATTAAATATAGATTCACATCAGTAGAGTGGCCAGAGGTCAAGCAGGAGTTAACCCAACCAAGTTAGAGACCTTATTTCAAACTATAATGCAGAGTGGGCAATAAGTGGATTATGTTGAATATGGTCTATTAAAATACTGTACAGTGGATCTTGCTGCCATCGGTATTTTTTTCCTCCTCTTAACCTTTAACCTGTAGTTGTGTTTTTTCATTTGTTTCTTTCCGTAATAGGGTTTTCTTTTTGTAGCCCTGGCTATCCTAGAACTCAGATCTGCCTACCTTATGCCTCCCAAGTGCTGGGGTTAATGGTGTGCATGCGCTGCCGCCACCTGGCTACCTTTTATTTAAAGACCACTTTACTTCAGCATATTCCAATTGCTAGCGACACAACTTGTTAAACATTTTGGAGTTATCACTAAAAAACAATATGAGAGTTATTGGAACACCTTGTTGTTTGCAGGGTTTGACTACAAGACTTGTAATGTGTTGGTGGCCTTGGAACAACAGTCACCAGATATTGCCCAAGGTGTTCATCTTGACCGGAATGAGGAAGACATTGGTGCAGGAGACCAGGTATTGTTATAGTTTATTGGCATCTCTTTTAACACTGAATTCTGAAACTTGGATTTCTCTTTCACATTTCATTTTTCCGGTTTCGTAGGGTTTGATGTTCGGTTATGCCACTGACGAAACTGAAGAATGTATGCCTTTAACCATTGTCTTAGCACACAAGCTAAATGCCAAACTGGCTGAACTACGCCGCAATGGCACATTGCCTTGGTTGCGCCCAGATTCTAAAACTCAAGTAAGTGGTGGTTTAAAACTAATGTTCATCTCAAATTACACCAAAATTCCTAAGTTACTTAATTATAGCTGACTGAGGGGGGATAATACTTGTCTTTTTGCTATTTAAACTTACGATGGAGAACAGAGCTGGTTAGACAGGTGTTGTGATCTATTTTACATCCAAGGTGACTGTGCAGTATATGCAAGATCGAGGTGCTGTGCTTCCTATCAGAGTCCATACAATTGTTATATCTGTGCAACATGATGAAGAAGTTTGTCTTGATGAGATGAGAGATGCTCTAAAGGAGAAAGTGATCAAAGCTGTTGTGCCTGCAAAATACCTTGATGAGGATACAATTTACCACCTACAGCCAAGTGGCAGATTTGTTATTGGTGGGCCTCAGGTAATAAATGTATGAAATGTTTTGATTATTGTTGGTTACTTGGAAATTTTGGCTGTCCCCATCTTTTTTCTGACTGCCCCCTCCCCCAGCCATACATATCCTACATACACTGTCTTGCATAGCCCATGCTACCCCCAAATTCACTATGTACCTGATGTTTTTATATCGCTGTATGCAGCTAGCCTTAAAGCGCTAGGATTATACATGTGGCTACTGCTAGCTACATAAGGATCTTGAATGATTCCTAATAGCCTAGTCAAGAACCACTTACTAGAAAAGATTACATGACTTAAACCCTATAATTTCAGGGTGATGCTGGTTTGACTGGCCGAAAAATCATTGTGGATACTTACGGCGGTTGGGGAGCTCATGGAGGAGGGGCCTTTTCAGGAAAGGATTATACCAAAGTGGACCGCTCAGCTGCTTATGCTGCTCGTTGGGTAGCAAAATCCCTTGTTAAAGGAGGTCTGTGCAGGAGGGTTCTTGTTCAGGTATGTAATGAACAGGTAAATGGGAAAAGAGTATTAAGTAAAAGTTTACGCATCCCTATTTTATAACAATATATTACTGACTTTTAGGTCTCTTATGCTATTGGAGTTTCTCATCCATTGTCGATCTCCATTTTCCATTATGGTACTTCCCAGAAGAGTGAGAGAGAGCTATTAGAAATTGTAAAGAAGAATTTTGATCTTCGCCCTGGGGTCATTGTCAGGTAAAGATGGTAAAGCCTATTGCTAGTGAGAAATAGTGGGTGGGCGTGTATGCTGAAATCTGTGGAGATGAAGGTAGACTCTTCATGTAGGGGAACAAATTTTAATTCTTAAAACATGCCAATATTTTAAATTGTCTGGAGAGGACCTAGCTGGTGAAGTTAGTGTTCTGTGACTCAGTAACATCCTAAAAAGTTCTCCATCTTTGATATTGAGCTTTGTGCTTACATTAACTAAGGGTGTGCTACATTAAGGGTTAATATGTTAAGGTGGGATGTTCAAAGTTACAAAGAAAATAACCATAGTGGGCAGTGATTGGACCTTGGTAAGTATTTAATTGGAATTCCTGAGAATGATTTAAGTTTTCATATTTGTCAAGCCAGGGCTGGAAAACAAGAACTCTAGTTACTAATAAAGGACTGTGCAAGCAGTTTGGACACCAGGGAAGTAACAACACTTTTGCCATGAACTTTTTTCCTAGCAAACCCCAGGGAGAAGTGAACTCATTTTGCCAGAGCTCTTGAAATGAGTCTTGCTGATTATTTTGCTTTATTTTGATTTAATGCTACATATTAAGTTATGGACTTGTATATTCCAGGGATCTGGATCTGAAGAAGCCAATTTATCAGAGGACTGCAGCCTATGGCCACTTTGGTAGGGACAGCTTCCCATGGGAAGTGCCCAAAAAGCTTAAATACTGAAAGTGTTAGCCTTTTTTCCGCAGACTTGTTGGCGTAGGCTACAGAGAAGCCTTCAAGCTCTGAGGGAAAGGGCCCTTTTCCTAAATTTTTCTGTCCTCTTTCAGCTCCTGATCAGTTGCAGTCACTCTAATCAATGACATGAATTTTAGCTTTTGTGGGGAACTGTAAGTTGGGCTTGCTATTCTGTCCCTAGGTGTTTTGTTCACCATTATAATGGATATAGTGAGCATAGGTGATCCATGTAACTGCCTAGAAACAAACACTGTAGTGAATAATGCTTTGAAATCGAATCTTTGTGTCCTATCACCTAATCCTCCAAAGTCCTAATTGCAATTACTTTCCCACCAGATGCTGAAAATGTCCTTGTAATGTGCACGTAAAGTACTCGTAGTTTGACTATAGACTTTGGCAATGCCATAGCCCTGTCAGCATGAATTTGTAATGTCTTGAGCTCTATTTATTGAATGTGAAGCCCCTCTCCTTATCCTCCCTGTAACTTGGTCATTTCTAATTATGTAGTTCTTTGTCAGGGAGTGGTCCCTATCCAATCAATCTTGCATGAAACGCAAGTTTCAGTTGGAGCTCTAGCCTGACTTCAAAAAAAAGGCAGTTACAATTAAACCATCTCCCTGGTGCTTATGCTATTAATTGCCACCTTTTAAACAGCACCAAATCAAAATCTCTCCACTTTTCAGCTGTCTTTGGAGGACGTACGTAATAAGGTTTTATTTAGTAAACCAATCCTATGCATGGTTTCAGCACTAGCCAAACCTCACCAACTTCTTAGTCTAGAAAAACAGGCACTTGGCACCCTTGTGATGTCATACAGAGAAGTCACAGGGCAGTACCTGAGGGTCTGTAGGTTGCACACTTTGGTACCAGGTAACTTTTTTTTCTTTATAAGAAAGACAGTACTCCACTGCACAATAGCTCCTCCCAGGGTTTTAACTTTGTTTTATTTTCAAAACCAGGTCCAATGAGCTTTCTGAACAGCTGGTGTAGCTACAGAGAAACCAGCTTCCTTCAGAGAGCAGTGCTTTTGGCGGGGAGGAGAAAATCCCTTCATACTTGAACATTTTCTAATTGCTTATTTATTGTATTCTGGGGTATGGCGTAAGTACAGAGAAGCCATCACCTCAGATGGCAGCTTTTAAAAGATTTTTTTTTTCCTCAACACCATGATTCCTTTAACATGTTTCCAGCATTCCCAGGTAGGCCAAGGTGTCCTACAGAAAAACCTTGGGTTAGACCTACAGGGGGTCTGGCTGGTGTTAACAGAAGAGAGGGCAGAGCTGGTGCAGCTGGCCATGGAGAAAGCTGACTTGGCTGGTGTGGTACAGAGAAGCCAGCTTGTTTACATGCTTATTCCATGTGACTGCTTGCCCTAAGCAAGAAAGTGCCTTTCAGGATCTATTTTTGGAGGTTTATTACGTATGTCTGGTTCTCAATTCCAACAGTTTAATGAAGATCTAAATAAAATGCTAGGTTCTACCCAAACTGTATCCGTTTGTTATTTGCCATGGTAAAATCTACATATGTTCCACTGCCATTGCCAAAGAAAAGGTTTTCAACAATAAGGTCATGGTTTAGAAGCTTGGAGTGAACACTTACATGTTGTATGCTTTGGAGTTAGGTGTCTCCTCCCCATCCCTCAAGCAATGGACTAGCCAGAACTAGTATTAGTATGCCCCTGCTATCTAAATGGGGAAAATTCTCTAGAATTCAAGAAATGTGGGTTTCCCTGAAGGGGGTGGGGGCTTATGTGGTAACAAGAAGGCACTTTTTAGTTTTTAGTGTTGAAAAGGTTTTTTAACTGAACCTTATTAAAATTAGTAGCAGAAAACCTATGGCATTGTCTGGTAAAGGTTTGGTGATTTCAAGGAGCCTAGAAAGCCTTTGTGGCTCAGTTGGAATCCCAGCATTTGAGAGACAGCAGACTAAATTAGCAATTCTTTATCTCAAGTCTTAGGTGCCATTACATTGCGAATAACCTTGTTGGCTAAAGACAGGAAGGTGGTAGATGATTAGGAGCAGGACCAGCAATAATTGCTGAGTTGTATGTAGTAGCACATGCCTGTGATTCTAAATGTCAGAAAACAGACTGCCATAAATTTGAGTTTGAAGTTGGCCATCTACATAGTTCAAGGATAGCCAGGGCTATATAATAGACCCCGTCTCGAAAAAAATTCAGGCATGGTAATGGACACCTGTAATATGAGTGTTCAGGACAACTGGAAGTTAAAGATTCTCTGCTACATAATTTATGTTTGGGGATAGTCTGGCCTAGATAAGGTCAAAATTATTAAACTATGAGATGACTGGCCTTTCAGAGTAGCATAGGACAATATGTCCTCAGAGTACAAGGCTAAGCACAGGCAAGAGGTATACGCTGGAGAGATGGTAAGGTCAGGTACAAGTTCTTAACATGAAAAGGAATTTGTAATTTGGCTAGATGCATAATACTAGGCCCCTTAGCTTTTTAAAGACATCAATAATCCATTCCCAGAACAACTGTTGGGAGAGCCTAGTTTCTCTAGCAATACTAATACAACTTCTTTCAACCAGATAGGGTCTCACCTATCCCATGCTGGCCTTGAACTGATCTTGTCACCTTTTGAGATTACAGCTCCACCTGCACAGTGCTGAGTATCAAGCCCAGAACTTCTTGCATGGTGGGCTAATAGCACCTCTATCAACTAAACTCGAAGTAGCTTATCTAGTAATGTCTTCATTTCTAATTCATCCTAACATTTCTCTTGAGAAAAGGTAGCACAAAAACAGCATCTTTGTACAAGCTGAGTACTTTGCATGAAATTTGGGCTCATTTCCCAGCATGCATTTGAAAGACATCCTCCCAAATAACTTTTTGCTAGTCAAGGGTGACAGGTTAAGGGAACAAGGAAATAGCTGAACCTGGAAAGGACATAGTGGTACTGTAAGAAAAGATTATGAGTTTGAGGCCAGCCTGGTGTAAAGAGTAAATTCCAGAGCAGCTAGGGCTGTTAATAGAGAAAAGTTGTCTCTTAATAAAACACAGAACGGTTTTCCCTGTTAGAAAATTGGATCAGAGTTTACTGTACGTGGCCATCAATAGCCTATATACAATGATTTGTATGCATTAAGAGGGACTTTTGATGTCCATACTTGGGCTCAACCTATGGGGAAAAAAAGGGGTGGGCGTCTGCCTTGGTCTATCCGTAACTAGACTCTAGTATAAAGGGTGAAGGAATAAGCCAATAGTAGAGATAAAAATAGGATGAACAGAAGATAGATGTGATGGGGTTTGACAAATGTAAGGAAAACATGGCTTAGAGAGCTGTGATTCACTAAGCTGATTTATACCAAAGCCATCTGGCTTACCTATTTAGTAGTGCTATTCTAATACCACTGCTACTGAAAAACTTGCTGGCTACAAAAAGGAATTGTAAATAAAACATTACTTTGTGCATTTAGTAGCTGATCATCCTAATCACTTGGAGTTAATACAAGTTTTAAGCTATACTGCTTCAGCTTTACTGTCAGTGGTTCTGAAAATTATTAAGCAACAACATATAAGACCTAAGTCCAACAAATTGCAGTTCAAATTGTCAACCCACTCCTGGATGCCTTTGGATGAATTTTACGTGCTTTCCTTTCTTCAAAGGCAAAATAAAGCCAATACCTCTTAAAGTACAAAGTATGATAATCCAGGTACATAGCAAGCACATGGTTTCAGCTGTTATTGTGGTAAATTCCTTTTCCTAAAGAACTAGCTTTAAAATGACTATAAACAAGGCAATGGTGGTGCACACCTTTAATCCCAGGACTTGGGAGGCAGAGGAAGGTGAGAGTTCCAAGACAGTGAGGGCTACACAAAGATTCCCTTGCTGTAAGAAGACAGTTCATACTGCTTCTAAAAAGAGCCATCAATCTTGGGATTCAAATTCCCTGTTGCCTTGGATTCTGTAAGCTATCATCTTGTACTTATAAGGGGTGGGGAATATAAAAGGAAAAAAAAAACTAGGTTTGGTGATATTCATGTAATCACAAAACGCTCAGCAGAGGGAACAGCATGAGTCTCAGGCCAGCCTGTATAGTATTGTGAAACCCTATCTCAAAATAGACCATTTTTTTGCAAATAAAAATATCCAGGATGCCCCCACATCTGCACAGAACATCTGGACTGCCCTCACAACTCAGAGTGAACATGCTCAGAATCTGGCTCTGAAGGGTTAGGGTTTGAAGAATCGGTGTTTGAAGCACTTGACTCATCAACTGGTTCAAATGGTCGCAAGTTTGCATATGTCACCTCTTGGGCTAGCTGCTCTAAGGAAGGGCGGCCTAATAGCAGATTTCGGAGTGAAATTCGAGTCATCAGGAAGCTGAAAAAAAGTTAAACAGTCCAAATTTATCTTTCTGCATAACTCCAACCAAAGCCCTAAGGAAACACTTGGTCTTAGACCCACTCACCTGGAGACACAGACATCTATCTACCTTACTGACCTCCACATCCCAAATGCAAGGACCCTACCCCTCCGAAGGCTGAAGGTATTCTAGGGTAGATTAGGAATAACCATGAAAAGATGGAAAGGTTAGAGATAAAAAGAACGGGGGAGGGTGAGGAAGGGAAAGATCCCTAGGAGTCTCTACTGTTGTCCTAGGGGAAAGTGACCAAACTTGCAAACACCTGAAGGCAATGACAACTTCTTGTGAGTGAAACTTACCTGCGTCGAAAGACATACAGCTTTCGCAGCAAGAAGCGGAGGAGTCGCTCATGGAAAGGGCTATTTCGCCGGCGTTCGATTTCTTGGCGTTGACGCTGCCGTCTTAGAAAGGTCTGGACCAAAGGTGTTGGCTCAACACCCCCTTTTACTTCCCCTTCCAAAATTGGCTGAAGTTCTGGAGGCAGGGGCCCTGTTTCTGTCCAGAAGTCAGCAAAAAGGAACCAATGAGATGGACCCCTCTTTGACTCGGCCATTTCCATCTCCATCTCCAAGAGGCTTCAAGCACTCTCTTTGATGGTTAGAGCTATAACCCTGACTTCCTGACACCAGGTACTCTCTCTGTCAAACCTCCATGCACTCACTCACCACTTCCATTCTCCACCTTCTCTTTTAATTCTTGCAGATATGCCAGGTCCTGCTCCAGTGCAACCTCTGTTGTGTTGACAAAGATGTACATATAGCAGGAGGGAGTCGATGATATAGTATAGACTTTATGGTACTCTCCAGCAGGCAACTGAGAGGGGAACAAAGGATACATTTAATTCTAACTTCCCTAGCTAGCCTATGGCCTCCCTACTCTAATCACACTGGCACTCTCTTTTCCTGTGTCTTGGAGTCTGAAATAATGGCCCCTAGAATCTGGATAGTTTTTCACAGCCTCAGGGGTCCTTTTTTGTTTCTTCTCCTAGTGTTGTTTTGAGTTCTGGTCTCACTGTGTAGTCCAGGTTGGCCTAGAATTCTGTTTTCCTGCCTTAGCCTCCCAAGTCCTGAAAATGACAGGCACATGCTTCCATGCCCCAGTGAAGTCCCTGTTTCTGAGCCTCCCCTACACTACTGCACTGGTAAAGACTTTTTATCTGTAATAAATGGACCCTATCTCCCTAAACTTCATGCCCCTTCTGCAGGTTTTATTTTGTAGTACTACATCCTCAGCCTCTGTCTCTGTTAACCCAGCAAATACCTGCATTTTTTCTCCCGCCTGAAGAGTCTGGTTTTTCTGTTCTGCCACCAATTCCACAGTGACCTCTCCCTGCAGCAGCTGGATGCTAGTGTTGCCCAGGTCTTCACTCACAAAATTTTCCAGGTGAAGCCCTGCCAGAAGCAAGAGAATTCACTATCCCACCCCACACTACCAGAATAGACTCTCACCACCATCACCTCCAGAGAGTTCCCTCCCTACCCCATCATATGCAATGTCTCTGGTCAAGGAAGACAAGGAAAGACAGCACAATCTCCCCTCACTTTCCTCCATACCAGGGAAATCTGCAATGAAGACCACCTCAGTGTGGTTGTCCAGACTGCTCTTAATATCCTGTAACTTGGTCCTCCAGAGAGATAAGTCCATCAAGAGTGGCTGCACCCAAGGTGTGCGCTTGAAGGGGGACCAGACAGCCTGCACGATGTCCACACGAGGGTCAAAAAGCCTTAAAAAAGGAAACCATGTTCTGAGGAGGCAGTACCCACCCACCCACCACTGGTTCTGCTTCTTTCATCACTGGACCCATGGAGAGTGGACAGGATTTCCCAAAAGGAGAAATGCCTACTGTCAGCATGTTATTGCCAGTCCGTGGCAGAGAGAAGGGGAAAGAATGTGAGTTAGTGGCCACCTAAGGAGAAGGCATTATGTTAATAGTGTCTGAAAGAACAGTCAGTTCGCTTTTCTCCTGGATGGTGGTGCCCCCTGCTGGACACAACCAACTATGCCCACAACCAGATCAACCCCGACATGCACTAGACTGAGAGCGAGACAGCTTTGTAAAAAAAGCAAGACACCATGAGAAGACATCAGCTTTTCATCTGGTCAAAAAGAGCTGTGCTTCATCTTCCCCTGTCTCTGCTCCCCTTGCCCACCTCTGCTGGAAGCGGTCATTGATGGAGACCCAAATATCAAAGTAGATCTGGGGCTCAGTGACATTGTACTTGGGAAGCAGCAGGCTCAGGCAAGTGGCATATTGCTTCAGCATGTCTGCATGGTCCTTCCATCGCCGGCTCTGTGTGAATACCTGTCCCAAACCCCCATATTAGTCCCACTTTGTCACTGCCAACAACACAAAGATCTTTACCTGCTGCCTAGTTAGAGCAGGAGGGGAAAGGAACTTGTCTTCGGATGTGAACTTTCATTGCTAGGTTATTTACTCACTTTTCCAAAACACAATCTTAACTCAATGACAAACTGTATCATCTCTATCCACATTTTTAAAAAAAGTACAGCATCAGACATAATGGCTGAAAAGGGACCAGCCTGAGCTATACAGAAAGACTCTGGTTTAATTAATTAAAAATATGGTCTGGTAGCCAGGTGGTGGTGGCGCACGCCTTTAATCCCAGCACTTGGGAGGCAGGACAGGCTTCAAAACTACAGAGAAACCGTGTCTTGATTAAAAAAAAAAAAAAGGTCTGGTCTGGTGAGATGGTTCAGCTGTTAAAAACATTTGCCACAACTCCCTGATGACCTGGGTTATGTTACCAGAGCTCACAAAGCTGTAGAAATAACTGACTCCATAAAGTTGTCTCTACATGTGTCTGTCTGTCTCTCATGTACACACACAAGCACATACATTAAATTTTTTAAAACGATGAAACGTTCAAAGATGAGGATGTAGCTCAATGGTAGAGTATACAGTTGTGGTCAGGCCTTGGGTCCAGCACCAAAAAAACAAAGAAAGGAAGGAAGAAAAAAGAAAAAGAGTTCCATCTGGTTTTGGAGAAAGTGCAGGGACCCAAATTTGTTTTATTTTATGATATGTATAGGACCAAATAAAATCCCAAAGCCCAAGGGGCTCAAGAAGGAGCAGCATTAGGTGTCTCACCCCAGGGTTAAGGTAGCCAAGCTCGCCTGTGAGGCCATCGCGGTAGGTGATCTTTACATGCTGGTGGGAGCGAGAGTGTACCATCATGTCCCAGGAATAGCCATACAGCCCGTTTGTCCAGTTGTTGTAACCCTGGGAAGGCAGAGCAGACCGTGTCAGCTTGATGTCTCTCAACCCAACCTCATTCTCCAGCAAAGAAGAGCTAAAGGCCCAGCCCTGCCACATCCACCACAGTCCACGCCCATGCAGCACATAAAATGATCGCACAAACCTGGGTGAGGAAGTGGGAATATGGCAGGAAGAGCTGCTCCAGAAGGTAGAGCAGGGTGAAGACGGCTCCCAGCTGGTGGCGCAGCCCCACCTTTGTACCAGCTTTGGCCCGGGTCCTCTTATAGACACAGCAAGGGCTGGGCCGAGGAGCATCTTTGGTAGGCAGCAGTTCTTGCAGCCATTTAGGGCATCGGGCTACCAGTTTCCGTGGCCATTCAGTTGAGCAGAAGAGGGGGCTGCTGGCCAGCATGACATAGGGAAACATACCTAGAAAAGCAAGGAGAAAGGTCGGCATGGTCAGGCTCCTCCCTTACGAAGTACTGCTGAAGTGTTCTACTCTAAGGAGCTCTGTCTTCGCTTTCTTCAGACAGAGTCTCACAAAGCCTGTGTTGGCCTAGCACTCGGTGTATGGCTGAGGACGACCTTGACCTGGTCCTTCTCACTTTCCCAAGTGCTGGGGCAAAGGGTGAATACCATCACCCCGGTTTTGTGTGGTGCTGGGGACACACACTAGGGAAGCACTGGAGCAACTGAGCCGCATCCCTGGCCCTAAAGGAAGTACCTAACAGTTCTTCCCACAGACCCTCACTGTACCACATGTTGTACCCAGAGGTCCCAATCTTCTCATCCTTATTTATTCCTACTTCACAGTGACCACACTGGGCTCAGCTCAGCTCCTGCACCCCCCTACCCCTCTGCCATCTCCCACCGGCAGACAAGTCCCCTCTCCAGGCTCCCCACAGCCCTGCAGCTGCAGGCACTGACCTATGCTGAAGAGCTGCGAGTTCATGCAGTGAAAGTAGGACACGAAGAAGAGGCCAACGGATCTTGAGGCATCAAAGAAGAGCAGGAAGCCAGCCGAGAGGTCGAGGAGAAGGCCGCACCAGTGCACCACCAGCAGGCTTGTCAGCTCCTCGGACAGCACCAGCCTGCAGACACAGGGACAAAGGTCCAGCCCCGGCCAGTGGGGTCACCCACCAACCACAGCATGACTGACACTAGGGACCTCAGTAACCTGTCCCACCAGTGGAGTACAACAGCTAAGCCCCAAGTACACCCATAAAAATGCTTTACATTGGAGCTGGAGAGATGGCTCAGAGGTTAAGAGCATTGCCTGCTCTTCCAAAGGTCCTGAGTTCAATTCCCAGCAACCACATGGTGGCTCACAACCATCTGTAATGGGGTCTGGTGCCCTCTTCTGGCCTGCAGGCATACACACAGACAGAATATTGTATACATAGTAAATAAATAAATATTTTTAAAAAAATGCTTTACATTGGAGTTTACCAAACCCTTGACATTTTCAGGGGTCCTTTTTCTTTTTTTTAATATCCCCTGTGCGATGAGTAAAGCGCAGTCTCCAAGGATAAAATCTGATGGAAAAGTAATATACTACAGGGAATATACTACAGGGGATATACTACAGGGAATATACTACATGGAAT